CCAGACTTTTCATGGGTCCGAGCGTTCGGGGCTTGCCTCGTGGGAACCAGGCACGAAGTACCCCAGTACCTTGGTACAGTCTTGGGTGCAGCCCTCAAGAAGCACTGGAAGTGTACGAAGTACATACACAATTCCTGTAGTGGCATCGACGAAGAACACGGAGGCTAATACTTCAATCGATCGATCTGAGAGAAACTTTTGGGGTTTCCACTTCGAAGCATCACAGCAGTATGGTTCGAATCTTAGCCTCATTGGCGCTCGAGGTACACATTCCAAGAGCATCAAATATTATGACTTTTCGCTATTACTATGCTCTCGGCATTGGAAGCGAACGAATTCGCCTGACAGCTCACATTAACGGGTCACGATGGTGGTCGATATTGGCAAGGTATCATTGTCTTGCTTCTTCAAGTCGGTTCAGCGCCAAGAAGAAACAAGCATATCTGATTCAAAATTCCCATGTCGGCTTATTAAGCGGCACCAGCCTCACGTGACTCCTTACTGACGTCTTCCGAGGATTAAAGGTTACTCTTCATTGTTCGATAATTTAATAAATAAATGGAATGGAATAATAAGCGAATGGATTTTTTCTCCCACGCTTCTACGAGCTTTCAGATAAACTGAGATATGGTTTGATAAAGTGTTTTTAAGAGTGCGTGGGCGGTTCTTGGCCGCCTCGACATGGTCCTTCGTGATATGGAGGCAGGCTTCTCGAAGTAGAGTAATTTGATATTGCGTTAGTGTCGAGGGGTTGATCGGATGTTGAATGTTGGGGATATTGATAGAACTGCTCGTCATGAGGGTGTGGCGGACATCATTTCTAGTACCAGGGCACCTTACGCAGGGTCTACTCAGTTACCTATACGGGCTTCCATTGAGTTCATCGAACGGAAAATACTTCTCGTTCAAAACGAAAAAGAAAAAGAAAAAGCGTGTTTTTTTAATGTTTTTTGCCTTTTCATTTTCTTGTATGCTTCGTTCTCGAAACATCCACGCGTCTCGCGTCTCCCGTCTGTGTCGATGGTTGCTCTTTCCTCTATTCACCACAGTTATGAGGGTGTACAAAGGCACGGTTGCAGGAACCTGAGCGCACAGTCTGTGCCTTCCTCTTCATCAACCGTCAATACGAACTCGTCGGTTCGTATCATGGCAGCACGACTTTTGGTATTCGATTGGTAAAGGGGATTAAAATCCAACGTACTGTTCACTTGGAGAACCAGAAATCTGACATATCCACCCCGGAGTTCTCTAATGTCGAGTCCCTAGAAAATGTTTTTAACACCATCCTTCTCTACGCCACCCTACAATCCCCTGCCCCATCTGCCATCACGCTAGGGATAAATTTAGTATTGACTCGATATCAACGAAAATTACCGAGGAGTACAACACGTTCCTCAAGGTCAGATATATGGTTAGCTCCATACTGAAGTGGGAAACTATAGAACATGCCCGGAAAAGATGTCCTCGAGTGTGATGGAGCAGGGTAAGATAACCCAAGCTTCGCTGTATAAATATAACTGCCCACTCTTCAATGAGGAAATAAATTGCGTAGGCAATGTAATCGTCGACGTGGTCCAATGGTCGTAAATCGGTTACAGAGACTTCGCAATAAGAAAGAAAACCGATCGATCGGTGGGAAGTCAGTATCGCGGAGCGTCAAGGCAAACAAGAACAGCGCCAAAATTGGCCCAGGTAAATAGCCATCATATTAAAGAATGATAATCAGAACTTCTCGAAACGAAAACTGTAAAACTGACAAGGCCACTGACTGCTAGTAGTCGAATTCAACGGCATGTATCCCTTCTGTTTCCTGACCGTCCCTGCCGCGAGATTTCCCCTCCTCTTAGACTTTTAGGGGATGTTAGTGCCAAACCGGCGGTTCTTGTTGTGCGGCTCTCGCTGGCACACCAACACATTAGCTTCTAGTCCGGTTCGAGATATTTCGATGACTTGGATAACGTCAGGTTGAATTATGCATATCTCCGAACTGAACTAATAATGGTATAGCCCTCCCAAGTGTATAAACCACGTCTCGATAGTATCAATTTAGTTCAAGTCTAAATTAATCTAGTGAAGAAAATTGGAGTAGTACAACAAGTTGCCTGCCACTCCGCGGTATCGAGATGTTTTGTCGCAGTTTTCGTCAGGACACCATGTAATGCGTTTCCCCTCAACATCACTGGTAATGGAATAAGAGTCAGGGTCAAGATGCGCTATCCAATGAAGTGAGTAGGGCGTGTCAAGCGGGTAGATATATTTCTCAGCTGAAACAGTGACTATCCCCGTCTTCCTGTCCTGCCTCCACGCATAGGACGCGCCGCAGGAACTTCTGCAGTAAGACTTGTGACAGGAGTATCCACTTATTAGGTTCCTTCCGTCCGCACGTGGATTTGCTATAGTCCGGCAAAGGCAGCATCCAAAACAGTCGGGTGGATTCCCATGGCCCCCAATTTTTGCCCACGAAGACCAAATACCAACGCATTGGTTAGCCGCAAACGCGCACATAGCCTGGCTTCCGTCCAGAGGGCCCATTTGCGGACAGGATAAAGACGCAAATACTTCCTTATTCGGCGAGTTATGGCAGAGTCGTTGCAGCTCCGGGAAGGTCAGTTTTCGATGTCGGTCCAGGCGAAATACTGGTATTTCTTGGCAAACAGTAAGAGATTGATAGCCTTCGCCTTCTATCAGGGTAATAGAGGACATGGCCAAAACACCTTCACCAAGCACTTTCCGTTTGTTGGTGCACTCTTTGCACTCGATTTTATATGTTTAGAGTCGAGAAAGTGTCGAAGGGGGCGACAATTGGCCTTGCCACTTTATGATGTCAGACCAAAAGATGTTCTTATGTGGGCAGGCTCGAATATAGCCTTGTCTTCCGATGCAAATTCTTTTCGATGGTGCCTCAGTCCGTTGATTAGCTGCGAAGAGGAAGCGCGGATGAGAAACCTCGCAGGCAGAACAGAACAGTTGGGATCCGAGCCACTCCTTCACACTGGAGGAGTATCCGTCTTCATATGTCCTGTTACGAGGGTCGTAAAATTTGTCCTTTCGGAGGAGCCGGCGTAATTGCCCTGATTCATCGCGGGGAAGCAGGGGTGGCATGAAGTTCTTAGTCCAAGACGGATGAGGGGGTCGTGCCGTCGGATTCATCCACGGATCATGATACTGCTGGAATTGCCTGTCGCAAGATAGACGCAAAAATAGCCGGCAGGTTTGGCGAAGGAGATAAACAGAGGAGTGGTCCAAAAACCCGAGAATCTCCAATAAAAGTTCCTCGGGGAGATCCTGGATTGAGATTTCGACTTTTGGAACTGTGTGCTCTTCTCCCGGAGTTGACGTATGAACGAGAGCGCTTGGGGACTGTGATGGCTGCTCTCCAGCGGTATATGACGCGGGCTTGTTTCTATTTGGTGAGATTTCCGTTCTCCGAAGGAATTTGTGGCTCAATTCCTTGATCGTACACCTCAAACAGTTCCATAACCGAGACGCTTTGGACATGTGTGTATGACCATGACCAGGTGAAACGGCCTGGTTTTGCATGGCTGTGGTGGAAGACGATTCCGACACGTGGGCGGTATGGAAATTTCGGATTAGATATGAGACAGCAGTTGGTAAACCTGGGGCAAGCTTGTCAGTAGTATAAAGGAGAAACAGAGTGAGGGCGAAAGGATTCATATCAAGGTATCAAGGAGTGCTACTGGATTTATTAATGGCGCTGTAATATTTTGTGACACTATCAAGGACCTCAGATATACAAAGCAAAATGAACTTGACATGTGGAAAACCGAATTTCACATGCTAGCTAAAACATTCCAGCGCTGAGCCAACGAATCCTCGGACATAAGACTTGTCGTTGCGAATCGTCTTCTTTCTGGGGGTTGGTCGCCATTGGTGTCGTGTAAGGGTGGTTGGTAGCTGTCAGCCTGGCAATGTGGGCAAACGTCGTTTTTGGCAAATGGGCAGTAATAATCTTTCGTTTCAAGGTCTCTAGGAGTTCTCGGTGGCGCTGGATTTCAGATAGCTTCAGTCTTCTCTTCGGTGGTTCGGATCCCCAATCTTCAGAGGTAATATTATCCTAAGACTTCGCGGCCGGGTTGAGCGAAGTAACAGGATTGGAGGAATAGTGATGGAGACGAGAATCAAATTGCCACAGGTATTGCTTCGTAGCTCGTTTCATTCGATATTTGAAAATTTCTGGAGGATTGATATTATTCGGTCAGTCGTGTTTCTCAATTAGTTTCTGGAAGAACTGCGTTGACAATTTTGATAGCGGCTTGGAAGGCGTCTAAGATCTCGTCTTGGTGGGGAATTGGATAGGTTCTTCAGCAGTTCTGTGTTGACTCTCCTCAAATCCATTGTGAACAGCGTATGTATGATCAATCCTCACAATTTGATTCGTGCGACTGGTATCGCCGCATTTCAAACAGAAGTTCGGCTCTGGGTGATTGCCGGCTCCCCTACAAGGAAGCATGGCATCTAGATGACCGCCCAGAATGGAGACGAGGAATGAATCCCGGAGACTCGGGGTGGAGACATCCGTCGGCCTGACGGACGCGATGTGCACCGCATTAGTGGTCTCCCGGCCTGCCTGCATCAAGAAGTCTTGCCGTCGGGTTCCAACCTGTACTGTGGAAATGGGCGCCAGCAAACGGCTCTCAAGCCCAACTGTTCAACAAATACGACGAATTCCAGTTCCCACATGCGCCCGATGTATTCAGTGCTGCGGCCAGTAAGCCAAGGCGTGGCTCCACACAAATGCTTCGATGTGACGATGCCAAGCCCGTCGGACAGCGCTTTCTGTTAAAATACGAAGTATTCGTAGGGTCCAAAAGGATCAGCAAGTTGGACCCTGGTAGATGGTCAGCTCGGGCTCATTTGAAAGCTTTTCTCCTATACCTCAGTGTCTTTATTTTCGTTTAATTGTTTTGCGTTTCTCTTTGTGTTTTTTTTTCTTTTCCCTCTTGTTTGCTTTGGCAAGAAATTGTACAAACTCGACCAAAATGCGCTACCTACCCATCATCCTCGCCCTCACAGCGGGTGTCCCCGCCCTCGCCGAGACGATCAAAATTACGGCTGGGGAGAATAACAAATTTGATCCAGAGTCCGTGACAGCCAAGTCTGGTGATATTCTCGAGTTCCGCTTCGGCCCCAAGAACCACAGCGTCGCCATGGGCGAGTTCGACAGCATCAACGGGCCCTGTGTCCCTGCAAACGAGGGCGGCTTCTTTTCCGGTTACTTCGCGGTGGATTCCGGCGAAAGTGTCAGTGCCCCATCCCGCCTCCTAATCTCGCCTGGGCCGGTTACAATTTTCCCGCGGAAAAGGATCCAGAATACTCACGATCCTGCAGGACAAGGTTTTTCGAGTTACCGTCAACGATACCGAGCCGATTGTATTTTATTCAACGCAGGTAAGTTAATCCTTTCTATGTTCCATTCTTTTCCGATCCCACCATCTCCTTCCAAAATCTCCACCCACACAGACATGCTAGCTTTCGCAGGGCTGGCTAGCCATGCGTAGCATGAGCCGACGTCGCATCCGTTTACTTACGCGAGAATTTCTTCCGCAGGGCCGCGAGTGTTCCGAAGGCATGATCGGTGCCGTCAATCTTGCGAGCGAGAATGACTTGAGCACGTACCGTGACAAGGCTAGCAAGCTTAGCCAAGCGGTCGCCCCCCGCGATGTCTTCGGTGGCGTCGTTGCTGACGCTGACTCCTCCTCTGAGGATAATGACGACTCCAAGGGTAATCAGGATAAAAAAGATGGCGAGGGAGCCGCTGCATCGGTCAGGGTGGGCTTGGCTAGTGCCTGTGTTGCTGCATTGGTCGCGCTGATGGTGTGAGAATGGAGGGTAGGACCTGCGTCACGGTTTGGATGGCAATATCATGAACACATGGGAGGAGTTTCGAGCTGGGCGTATTGCTTCTGATCTTTGGCCGTAATCAGCCGGTTGAAATTAATTTATCCTTTTTTTGTCTCCCATTTTAGCTTCCATTCCCTCTGGCCCATTTCCAACCCATTGGGACGGGAGGCGACGCACCGCCCGTAAGTCGCTCGTTGAGTGAATTGTCAATCCTCCCCGATCACCCCTTCATGCGGATGTTATCAAATCACCAAATGTTCGGTGTCCCTCGGTAACCACTGAGGCCGATTACGTCGAACAATATTGATATATTTCCCTTCGCGCCTCCGCACCATCGGATAAATCAGTTCTGTGATGCCTCAACTGAACTGCACGTCTTATCTTAAGTAGGTCTTCCCTTCCAGACGGAAATATGGGATATTGCGCGGCCGGCAAGATACACTACGGTATTGATTTATATATTGGATTGTTTGTTTTTACCGTTATCTAGATGTGATGCTATTCCCGGATTAGTTGGAAACCTAGTTACATTACAAACACCATCACCTCAGGCGATATTCCCCTCGCCTAAACCATCATCGATCAATAGGCGTCGATATCAGGCAGAAGTTGACTACTTTTACAAGCTAACTTGAAGTACAGGGTCTTTCCCTAAAAACACATCGGCCACCACGATATCCTCGTTCATGTACCGTTTATATCTGATTCCAGTTGTCTCAGAAGTATTTTGATATGCTGAAATATGCCCCAGTGCTTGCATGCAATCCCACTTCCTACTTCGCCTCCACCACGGAGTTCTGACTCTTTTCCCTTCATGCCGCAATCTCGTTTATCAGGCGCAGGCGAGTGGCCGAGTTAGAGGGCAGGATCGTTACTCTAAGCCGGTAGCTGAGAACCAGCATCTTTGGTACCGATACTTTGCTATCAACATCGCTCTTCCCATCCTCGTGGCTCCTTTTCTGGGACGAGGTGTGCTCATTTGACATCGGCTGCCACACCTTCGTCTCCGGTAATATTCGTGCTGCGGTACTTATCCGCTTGTCACAGCCGCCTTACATTATCCGGTAGGCGGGACTAGGGCGAATCGATAATTCCGAGTGAGATGCTTGTACGTTCTAAAGAGGAAAGAAAAACAACAGAGGCCCCCTTTCCTCGACTATTACATGTAGTTTTGACCTTCGCTTAGCTATCACAACCGTTTCTGTCACTCTCAGACTTCTCCGGCCGTTGCCATAACAGGTAAACCAAGAAGTCCAGGTCGGTTGGACGTACTTCTCTCATCTTAGGATGTCGAGCCACGTCATGTCCTTACCAATTTGCCCTTCCGCGTGTTGTTGTTGCATACAATATCTGATCCTGGCCCGCCTATCATAATGCACAAAACGGTTGCCTGTCATTTACCAAGGCACCATTCGCAGTCCCATAATTATCCAGGGGAACTACGCCTTCATATACTCCATATTGAGAATATACCAAATTTAGAATCGGGACAAGGGAGCTCCTTGCTAGATTCCTGGCCCTAAACCAGGTCGGTATGCAAGATGAGGGCTGAAGACCTTTCGGGTTGAATACTTTGGCTTCCAGCGTTCTGTTTCAACCGAAATCCGCATGTGGAATAAGATAACCACAATGATATGCCTTGGGTTCTTCGGTATTTCTGCTGTCCCGTTGCCCTTGTGGATCCCTCCACGTATCTCAATTACACCCATTCCTGCCTACTTGCGCACATTATTAGTATCTGTGGCTCAACACTAAGACAGGGCGGCAATGACCCGGTCGACCGTGGTGTCATGATATGACACTGGCCTAGTCCGGTTGTACCTCCCTGGGAACGTCCATTTTCCCATAAGCTGGTCTCTTGTCCGTTACCTCTTCAGCAGGGGCTTGTTCACCGTGCATCCCGCCACTCCAACCCGAAAGAGGGGCTAGGGATGTAGCCTTTTCCGGGTCTGTTGTGGTCCCCGCTTGCAAATAGACCAACCCCGAAGCGAGCACGAACCATGAAGCTTAGCTTGATGTTTATATGTCGCCTATATATGGAGGAAGCTTCTTTCCCCTCTGTGGTTAGGAAACGCCTCGGCTCCTTTCTGTTGTTCTTTCCTGTCTTAGCTTCTTTGCTCGTACATGTCAGATTTATTCCCGCTCTTTGATTGTTATTCAAGAAACCTTCGAGATCTTAGGAGAATGATAGGGTTCAAGCATCTTCTTGTGGCCTTGTTGGCTAGATGTGTAGTGTCCCAGTCAGTCTTGGCCAAGACCTACACAGGATGGAACTGGTAAGTAATCGATTCACCTCGTATCGTGTTACGTCCCATAATATCTGGCTTCTATCTGGTGGCTTCGCAGATCGCACCCTAACGATGCCCCATACTACAGCTGCAAACCCGCTTGTGCATCCGTCTTTAATACCAATCTCTGGAACACTCGGTATGTCCTCACCTGCTTCCCCACGTTGTAGGAAGGGCGGCCGGAGCTGATTTGAGATGAAACTCTTCAGAGGGCCTGTCAATGTTTGCGATAAGAACGACAATCCACTCGATCGCGAAGCCGGCCGAACGGCGAGAAGCACATGTGAAGGAGGCTCCTCCGATACCGGATTCCTTTGTGCCGACTATTCACCGATCCCAATCTCAGACGACCTCTCTTACGGCTTCGCGTTCCATATCGGGACTGACTTTAGCGCTCAGAATCCTAACTGCTGCAAGTGCTTCGAGGTGCAATGGGTGTCCGGCGCAGCTGGTGAGAAAAACAAGCGGATGGTTGTACAGGTGATTTCTCCCGGTGGTGCCGGCGGAGACGTTGTCGCAGGAGACTTGATCATTATGACTCCTGGTGGAGGTCTTGGCCCCGTGGGGAGTGCCTGCAGCGCACAATACGGCTCCGGATACGACTGGTAGGTCTTTCATCCGAGGCGCAGCTACTTTTGCCGCGTTAACCCTTTTATAATGCAGGGGTGATGCCTACGGCGGTATCACGGAGGGAAATAACTGCGACCGGATCCCCTCGAATCTACAAGGCGGCTGTTACTGGAGATTCAATTGGGCAGGAGGCTTTATAAATGGGTGGGAGGCGGTTTATAACCAAGTGGCCTGCCCATCTCGCCTCACGGACATTTCTGGATGTGCGGTGAACCCATAAGTGAGAGTTCCTCTGAGATGATTCCAATTTTCGAAGGGAGCAGTAATGGAACAAGAAATGTTCGAGAGAAAACTCCCGTTCTGTAGCGGCAACCTCGTAACTAGCTTAGATATTGGTATTGGTATTGGTATTGGTATTGGTATTGGTATTAATGGTTAACTACTATTATAGCTTCAGCTTATTTCATGGTTGGGGATTTATTGGGCAAGTGATGTTTCACATGCGACCACTAGCGATGAGTGAAGGTCTCGTGTAACTGTTCCTGGTTAGTATCAAGAGTAAGGCGGATAGTTTCCAGAGTTATTGGCTAGTGCCAGATTATTTGTTACCCGTTTAGTTGACCTGTTGATGTTTTAACCCCTGCGAAAGGAAGCTAATCTAGTTGCAATATTCTCCACCACGTAATCTATGCCCCTCGCCTGAATTGGCTTTGTCTGGGGAGAAGCAGCACTTATACATTGGCAGGGTGAGTAGGAGACATCGGGGAAAGAGTTGCTACGAAGGAGTAATCACCGCTAAAGTGTGACGTAGCGCAAATTGGGGTTTGACGCTGGCTAGAAGTTCGTGGTTTCTTTTCAACTGAGTCCACGTCCAAGCCTCGTATAAGAAGGTTGACTAGACACGAATGCTTATTGCCAGTACCGTCGTGTTCCGTGAGGCGACGCTGGGTGGATACAGTATGGAACGTGTCTTCCTTACTAGGGAGGAAGATTTGGGTGCTAGAGGGGTAGGTTCACCAACTATTAACCACAATTCAAGCCAGGACGGTGATGATATCGCTTATTATCACATGCAACACTCGGCCGCATACTTATATAGAGAGGGTCTACGGGTTTTGGCTCAGTGTCCTCGTCGCTCCAAGTTCTTTCCATTCTTCGAACACTTACCCTAGACGGATACGTAACGTCATATGCCGTTTTCGATTTCGAACCTCCTCACAAGAAGACTCCTGACCCCTGACTCCATTGACCATGAAGTTTTCAATCCTTTTTCTTACCCTAGCCTTCTTTGGCCCTCTCGCCATGACTCTCCCCACTGGCACTGCGACTGCCGACGTGGTAGCAAACCAGGTACGAACTATTGAGTCCCCGAGAATGGGAAATGTCTGAGAGGAAGAACACGCTGCTAACAACGTGTTGTCTTCTTTAGTCAACGACCGAGTGTCCCGATGGGTGTCGGCCATGTATTATCGAATGTTTTGATAGTAAGTTCCTCTCCAAAACCGACTGCCGTCAAGCATAGCGTAGCTAATTTTTTTATTTGTGTAGTATCGAAAGGAGAGAACCGAGGAACTCTTCAAGGATCTACCGCAACTCTTGCTCATTGTATTTTGGGCTGCAAGCGGTTGTGCAACGACTGTGGAGAGGATCTTGAGAGGGCTCTCAATGAGCTCGAACAAGATGCGAAGCAAAGGGCGCGCCCACGTCCGCGTCCATGGGTAGACTCGGTGCCTAGGGACGTGGGTAGGACTGACGATGGAGAGGAGAATTAAGTTTTATAAAGTTCGTTTCGCAGGATGTTGTTGGAAACCTATTTGACAGCCCCGTCCAGCAAGAGAATGATGTTTCCATTCCACCTGGTGCTTAAACATTGGATTAGCTTTTTGTTGTTTATTTCAGTTCAGGAGTGGATTGTCTCCAGTCACGTTGGAAGGAGAGTGGCTGACGCTAGAATTATCCATTAAGAAAGCTAGTCACATGCGCTGCATCGTCCATTACCCCGTCAAGCACGTTGTGCTCCGGTCCTCTTCCGTTTCGTCAGTGAATGAAAAGATATAGGCGAGGAGGCCCAGTAATCTGATAACCTGGGCGATGTCGTGCCTAAAGGCTGAGGAAGAGAAG